AGCTCATTTCTATCCCAGCCAGGACTGGGCTGGAGCTCATTTCTATCCCAGCCCAGATTGGGCTGCAGCTCATTTCTGTGCCAGCCAGGATTGGGCTGCAGCTCATTTCTATCCCAGCTTTAGGAACTCAGGGCTGTGAATCCTTGAAGGACTCAGCAAGGAGTGCAGGATTCCCTCAGGGAGCTGGAGGATCCCAGCCCTGAGCTCTCTGCAGGCTCAGAAGGTGCTGGAACAGCCCCTCGGCCCCACAGCAGAATTCCACATAGGGTTCAGTTAATCAGCATTAAAAGACCCCATAAAAAAGGTGCAAAGAATGAAAAACTTACTTGAGTCCCCGAGGAGGAGTGAGGAGAAGCTGTTGGGAGAGGTGTGAGTGGCCCAGGATTTTATACTCCTGTCTGGAGCCTCTGAACCACCCCTTGCACGTGATGTTGGAGCAGGTTCCGAGCAGCAGCGATGACACACAACCACTCACAGCTCACAATCACCAATTATTGGGCAATTCCCAGCTTTCCAGCACACCTGGACACGTCACCCCGTTACATCTTCAGCCACAGCAGATTCCAGCCTCTCCAAACCCATCCCTGGGATTTGTCCTCTGTGGGAACGAGGGGCAGTTCAACAAAACCAAAACCATCTGGTTAAAAACTGCATCGAGGTTTATATCTTTTATGGTTTAGCATTGACTCACAGGTGGGGAAAAGGAATCAATAAACAGTTCTCAGCTTTCCCTGGAATCCACACAGAGAGGGGAAACTCCAGCTTTTTTGTTGCCTTTGCCCCCCCAGAGGATTTTCCAGGACAAGACCTTGAGTAGCAGCGCCCTGATGGCACCAGGGTTTGATTCCTTGATCAATACAACAATCAACCCCATCAATGGGGGACAGTAAAGGATTCAGGCCCTTAATTACAGCAATAAATTCCACTATGGAGTCCTGGATCAGGAAACCTGGTGCCTAATGCTCCTTAAGGTGGAGAAGGATGTGAAAGAACCACAAAAGGAAAGGAGTTTGATTCATTCCCACCCAAAAGCAGCCCAGGGAGTGGGTTGGTACCAGGAAGGACCTGGTGAACCCTGAGCTGGGCTGTTGTGTCACCCACGAGGAAATGGGGAACACCAGAGTCAGCAGGAGCAGTCAGAGAACTCCTGCACATCCAGGTGAGCTGAATGTGCAACAAAAACCTGTGGGTAAAGCAGAAAATCCTCCTGAGCAAGGAAGGGCTTCCCAGGGGCTCTCTGGGACCATCTGGGGTCTGTGGGGGGGGAAAGGAAAGCTCAGAGAGGCAGAGATGGGATGTTTGACCCCCCACCACAGCTCCCCTTGCAGAGGGAAAATCTGATTAAAATGGGCATCTGGGAGCTGCTTCTCCAGAGGTTTCATGGGAAAAGGGTCAAGGATTACACAGTGGGAAAGGTTATTTCCTCCCTCCAAGTGTCAGGGGGGTTCAGCCACGCTGAGGGAACCTCTCCCAAATGTCCCTGTGCTCTGGTTTGGGGCTGGCAGGAGGAACCCAGAGATCCCTCAGCAAGGAACAGAGAGGCAGAAATCCCCCCCTGCCCTGCTGATTTGTCTCGTTCCCAGCAGGTTTGTCCCTTTTGCAGCTTTCACCAAAATATTTGAAGGGAAAACGGGGTCGAAAAACAAATGAAAGAACAAAACCAAACAAAGCAAAAGGAGAATGAAACAAAAACAGAAAACGAACCAAACAAAAAGGAAAATGAAACTAAAACAGAGTCAGGAGGAGGCAGGAGGGGTGGGAGGTGCAGCTGCTGGGATGTTGAGGGGTTTGCTTTGCTCTTTTCTTACTCCTGGCTCTGTCCTGAAGGAATTTCTTGCTCCCTTCAGTGACCCTTGTGGGTTTGATGGTGACAGATCATCTTGGCTGCATCAGCAGCTTCTCCCTGCCCTTCTCTGGGCAACCTGTGCCAGGCCCTCCCCACCCTCCCAGGGGAGGATTTCTTCCATAAACTCACATAACTCATATGTTGTTAAAGTGTTGTTAAAGTTGACCAGCAAGGAGAAGCCCAGAGGGGTGGATTGAGTGGATTGAGGAACTCTGTGCTCCCAGCACAGCAGGACAGAGCTGAGCTCTGAAGTGCTTTGGAGGCTCCAGGTGCTTTTATCCAGTCCCTCAGTTTGCCCCAGGGGACGTGAACCTTTCCCCTTGTCCTCCTCGTCCCTCAAATGCACTTTTTTGGCATCTGTCACTCAATCAAGGTCATTGGGATCATTGTTTCTCCTGAGTAACTCCACCTCAGATGGTTTTAAATCCCCATCACAGCCCAGAGACTCCTCTCCTGTCAGGCAGGGAGGGTGATTTCCACCTTTGTTTTGATCTGACAACTTTGCTGGGGACAGAGGGAGACGAATCTTTGCATAAATGTTTCAGATTGTGCTGCTGTGTTACAGCTCAGCCAATATCTGCACCTGGACTGGCCATTTATTGGTGTTTGCTTGTTTTTCACAGGGTTAGGAACACCAGGACAGAGCTGGAGATCAACATCCCAGACCTCTGTCCAAGGCCACCTTATGGAATCCTGGAATCCTGGGAGGGCTGGGGTTGGAAGGGACCTGAAAGATCATCCAGTTCCACCCCTGCCATGGACAGGGGCACCTTCCTCTGTCCCAGGTCACTCCAACCTGGCCTTGGACACTTCCAGGGATGGGGCAGCCATGGAACCTGTGCCAGGGCCTCCCCACCCTCACAGGGAAGGATTTATTCCCAGTATCCCATCTAACCCTTCCCTCTGTCACTCTGAACCATCCCCCTTGTCCTGCCACTCCAGGCCCTTGTCCAAAGTCTCTCCCCACATTCCTTGGAGCCCCTTCAGGTCCTGGAAGGCCACAGTCAGGTCACCCCAAAGCTGAACAATCCCAATTTTCCCAGCCTTTCCTCCCAGCAGAGCTGCTCCATCCCTGCTCAGCTCCTCTGGAGTGGCTCCAGCAGCTCCAGGTGCTCCCTGGGCTGTTCCCCAGGGCTGGGGGGTCTCAGCTGAGGGGGCAGAGGGGCTCAGACCCCAATTCCAGCTCTCCAAACAAAGTCCTTGACTCAGAACCGGGGCAGGAGATGAAAGGATGTGCCCAGGGCCCCTCCCAGCTTTCCCTCTGAATCAACAAGTGCCTTATTTTGCCTCAGACTTTTAATAATCCCATTAAGAAATCAACAATAAAAGTTGCCCAATTCATTTGGGTGTTGGACAAATGAGTGGTTGTGTATAAAGGGGTGAAAAAACAAGGATTTTACATTGTCTTGAGATAAGGAAACACCGAGGTTGAGAAATAATAATGGGGGTATTAAAATGGGCAGCAACTGAACTGGTGTGATCACAGAGCAAACGTGATTTCCAGGGAAGGAGTTGCAAAGGACTCCGTGAGATCATTTCGAGTCTGAGAGGGAAGAAAACTTTCGGGTGAGGATGAAGGAAACAATGATTCAGAAGTTTGGAGGAGAAGTGTTCAGCACAAACCCAGGCACCTGCTGAGCCTTGTTTTCCTTTCAGAAGGACCACTCATCGCTCCCAACTCAGGAAACCTGTGACTGGCACAGCCCTTCCCTCTGAAAGGTGCTGAGCCCACAAGAAATGTTCTGGAAACCAGAAAATACACGTTTATTAAGCGTTAAAGATAAATATATAGAAATATAAATATATAAAAATATGAATATATAAACATATATATATTTGTGTATATAAATATAAACCAGGTTTATTAAGCAATAAACCATATTTTAAATTTTTTAAATTTTTAAATATTTAAATTTATACTTTTATATATAAATACTTTTCTATTGAAACATAAAAGCACTTTTTTTTTCCCCAGCAGGTCAAACCCTGCTCTTTTCAAGCCTGTAACACCCACGTGAAGTGGGGAATCACTGCTGGTGATTTCTAGCAGAGAGGATTAAGACAGAGGCACAAATGATTTACCAACCATGCCCTGGCAGTGAAATGAGCCTCTGGGAGGAGATCCCGGGCATGGCTTGTACTCATGTTATTATTTGTAATTATAATCCCATTATCTCTTGGCTCATGGAAACGGGGTTGGTGCCCTGATACCACGAGAACAGGGAGCTCCAGGTCAGGCCTGGCAGGAGCCAGGAATGAAACCAGCTGGGATTGGGATGGGCAAGGGAAGGGTCCTCACCCCAAGGCAGGACAAGGAGGGCACCCAAAAGCCTCTCCCCAAATTCCTGGGTGCTGGAAATCTGCTCCAGCCCCCTGGGCCTGGAGCTCCCCCTGGCCCTGGCTCTGCACTCCAGGGCATTGTTGGTTTTCCAGGCTGGATTTTTCCCTGAAGGGAGAGGAAGGGCCCAAACTCTTGTTTCCAAAGTAGGCTGAGGAGCAGCACCAGGCAACGTCTGTGTTTGTAATAAAGGCCAGTGGAGACAGAGCCTTTCCATCCCACCTGGAGAAGCCACAGGAATGCAGATTGCAGGGCAGGGACGGGGCTCCTTCCGTGCCTTCTGCTGCCAGGAGGAACCAGCACGTGGAACCTGGTTCAGCTCTGCAGTTCAGAAACACTCTGAGCAGCATTTCTGAGTTCAAAGTCCTTTAAGATCATCAAATTCAGGTGCAGGAGGACCCAGCATTTGCCCCCTCGCTCTGCTCTGTGCTCTGTTACACTGGGTGAGGAGCTGGATGCAATTCCTCAGTTGTAAAGGTGTTTAATGTGAAACCCTGTGTGTGACCAGAGAAAGATATTTAATGTGAAATCCTGTGTGTGACCAAAGACAGGTATTTAATGTGAACTCCTGTGTGTGACAGAGCAGGGGCTGCTGTGATGCCTCAGAACAAAGTGGAACATTTTGGGGTTTTTGTGCTTTGGAGCTCAGACGAGTGGAAGGAGGAAGTTCAATTTTGTGCTGAGTAGGAAGAAACTGCTGAGGGTGAATCCCAGCCTTGTCCTGAGATGAAAGATTCCCGTGGGCTGTGATACCACCCAGCTCCTGTTGCCCAAGAGCAAACAACGTGCCCGGATCCCTCCACCCGCTGCCGTGACAAGGGCAGGGAAGTTTGGGGTGGAAGGAGGGAGGGCTGAATGCCCAAAGGGTGGCTCAGACCCTGGGCAATGGTATAAAAGTGCTCAGAGCACAGAGCTCCTCAATCCACTCAATCCACTCCTCTGAGCTTCTCCTTGCTGGTCAACTTGGTAAGTCTGACCTAAAATCACTTTAATGTGGATTCATGGAATGGTTTGGGTTGGAAGGGACCTTAAAGATGGAGATTTCTGGAATCACAGAATGGTTGTTTTAATGTGCTCATGCCTGAGCACTTCCCATGGCTTTGCCTGTTGTTGGTGGAGGGTTTCTTTTCATTCAAATCAAAGGGTTCTGGTGCTTCTTTCATGCTGGCAGGGTTTGGAGGGAATGGGATTTCTGGGGGAAGCATCAGACCTCAAGAAATCATAGAATCCTGGAATGGTTTGGGTTGGAAGGGACCTTAAATCCCGTCTCATTCCACCCCCTGCCATGGGCAGGGACACCTTCCACTATCCCACTATCCCTGCTGTGATTCCAAGGGGAACCCGTGGAATGTTGCCTGGTTTGACTGACGGAGGCTCCCCTCTGTCCCCCTGTTTGTTGCAGCCTCTCTGCCAGGCCCAGGATGTCCTTCTGCAGCCAGCTGAGCTCCCGCTGCTCCCTGCCCTGCCCGGTGCCGTGTCCCCAGCCCGTGGCCGACGCCTGGAACCAGCCCTGTGTCACCTCCTGCGGGGACTCCCGAGCTGTGCTCTACCCCCCTCCCGTGTCCATCGTCTTCCCGGGCCCCATCCTGAGCTCCTGCCCCCAGGAGAGCGTGGTGGGCACCTCCCTGCCCGTGGGGCCGGCGGGTTCCTTTGGCCTGGGGAGCTCTGGGGGTGCTCAGAGCTCCTGGGGATCCGGCGCTTCCCTGTCCGGCCGATATTCCTACCCCTGCTATTCCCGGTATTCCACCTACCGTGGTGGGAGCTGCAGGCCCTGCTGAGGGACGTGGGTTCCTGAGGATCAGCAGGACTCGGCCCCAGCAAACCCTCCCAGCCCCTCCTGTGCCCTCGGGATGAAGTTCTGCTGTTGTTAAGTCCTCGCCCTCCTTCCATTAAAGTCGATGTTGCAGCACAGCCTTTGTTCCCTGCTTTCCTTTTCTCCTCAGCTGGGAGCTCTTGGCCACTGGAGCTCAAACGATGCCCCAGTTGAGGGTCAGGGCCGTGGGGGGTTCATCACAAGGTGCCCTGGCTGCCAGGGGGGTGCTGCCCATTCATCCACGAGACAGGGATGGCCCTGAAACCTTCTGTGAGGATTTGTGGTGGAAGGGGTGGGATGAGGCAGCAGGAGGGACCTTCTGGATCTCCACAACTCCCTGACAGGAGGGGGGAGCCAGGGGGGGTCGGGCTCTGCTCCCAGGGAACAAGAGACAGGAGGAGGGGGAACGGCCTCAGGCTGTGCCAGGGGAGGGTCAGGTTGGCCATGAGGAGGAATTTCCCCCTGGAAAGGGTGTTCAGGCCTTGGCAGGGGCTGCCCAGGGAGGTGGGGGAGTCCCCAGCCCTGGAGGTGCCCAGGGCAGGACTGGATGTGGCACTGAGTGCCAAGGTGGGGATGGGGCACGGGGGGGATCCATGGGCTGGGAGGGCTTTGCCATCCTAAATCATCCCAGGGTTCTGTGATTCAATAATTGCACTGCCTGCCTGGATCAGAATCCGTCCCCATCCTCTCACCAGCTTACAGAGAGAAAGGAGTGACCTCAGCATCTTCACTGCATTTCAAAAGTGTTTTTTCTGCTAATTGCAAACGCCAGTGCTGGGAATAGATTTCCCTTCTATCCTGGAAAAGCCTTGGCTTGAGCTGCTCCATGGAGAGGACCCAAAGAGGGAGAAGCAGAGCTTTTCTCCTGTTCCTAAGAGCATTTTATATCTTTCTAATACTGAAGGGCCAAAACTCTCATTTCCAAATATCTGAGTACTTGTGGATGGAAGGAAACCATCCCTGGTGACTATAGGGAATTAAATGAAGCATCTGGAAGAGGAATAAGGGAGCTCAGAAGGAAGGGAGGGGTGGAATGACCACGGGTCAGTGCTGTGCAACATGGCTTTTAATGGGCACGAGAAGCAAACCCAGCAGTCACAATCACCCGGGGGACAGACACAGGCACTTCAGGACCTTCCAAATCACAAAGCTGCTGCATTTCCTACAGGAATTTCTGCTTTCCTTAGCGCTGCCCGAGAATTGCAGCTCCGTATCCGTGGTTTTCTTGCCCCGAAGCTCCCGGGAATCCTTTAGCAGGGACCGCAACTCCCCCGGCTGCCGGTGCTGTACTGGCGGGGGAGGTACGGGCTGCAGCTCCCCCTTCCCACGGCCGAGCAGCCGGAATTGTAGGACCTGCTGGAATTACACACCCCCCCCGTAGCCACTGGAACCCCCAAAGAGGATGGAGCCCCTCAAACCCGCGGGATTTCCGTACCCCCGGTAACCCAGGGAGCCCCCGGAGCCCACGGAGCGGGCGATGCCCGGGGGGATGCCCGGGGGGCTGCAGCTGCCCACGACGCTTTCCTGGGGGCAGGAGCTCAGGATGGGCCCGGGGAAGGTCAGGACCACGGGCGGGGGGTAAATGACGGCCTTGGAGTCGTCGCAGGAGGTGACACAGAGCTCGTTGCAGGCGTTGGCCAAGGGCTGAGGGCAGGGCAGCTCGCAGGGGCTGCCGCAGGGCAGGCACAGCTCTCCGCAGTAGGACATGGCTCTGGGGACGGCAGGAGAGGCTTTGGTTCCAGGGGTCGGTCTGAAAGACAGGGAGGAGATCAAAATAACACCCAGCACACCTTGGAGCTGCTGCCCAGCTCCCTCCAGCGAATCCGGCTGAAAAACCATCCCAAAAACCAATTTACAGCATCAAAGCTCTTCCTTAGCGAGGCGGGACGAGCGGAGGAGGGAATTTAAATCCCCCGTGCGCTCGAGGAAAAGTGTCTGAATCCCTTGGGGGTCCCCAAGTCTGAGATCAGCTCCCCAGATCCACACCTCTCCAAGCCCCCAGCAGACAGTTTGGCAGCAGGGACCCGTTTGTCGCTCGGCAGAGGAACAAAGCTCAGCGCTAAAAAATAAAGATCTGGCAGTCAAAAGAGTTAAGCCCGGACTTACCTGATCCGCCGAGGAGGGAAAGTTCGGAGATGGAGGTTAAACAGCCTTGAGCTGCGAGTGCTTTTATACGATCCCTGCGAGTGCCCGGAGGGTAAAGGGCCTATTTGTAGGTGATTATCTCATTTACTTGCAAATCGGATGCTGTGCCTTGGCTCGCTCCTCGCCCGCCGTAATTACCTCTCGGAGGGGGGGTTGTTCTGCGCCCCAAAGGCGATATCCATCGGACGGGTGATTTGGGCTCCCCCTTGATCACCGGTTGCAGCGACGACGCGGAATCACAAAATCTTTTGGGCCGGAAAAGAGCTCCCAGGTCATCGAGTCCCACCTTTGGACCGTCCCCGCCTCGTCAGCCCGAGCAGAGCTGCGGGGGCCGCGTTAAAAACCCACCCAGGGGAGGTTTAGGGCAGAAATCAGGAAGGAATCCTTCCCTGGGGGGAAAGGGAGGCCCTGGCACAGGTTATTCCAGGGATGCCCCGTCCCTGGAAGTGTCCAAGGGCGGGTTGGACGGGGCTTGGAGCAGCCTGGGGGTGGAATGGGATGAGCTTTAAGGTCCCGTTCCCTGTTCCCTGTTCCCGGGGAGCTCCGGGGGCAGATCCCTTCTCCAGACACAAACTCCCCCCGTGTTTTCTCCCCTCCATTCCTGTGGAGATCCATCCCCGCGGCGGCCGCAAATGTCCCCTCTGACCCTCCCGAGCGGGATAATCACAGCTCTGATAAATAAATACACCTCCTGCCCTTCGCCTCTGGATGGGGCAGGAGGAAGGAGAATTCCTCTGGGATGGGCAGATCCATCCCCTGCTGCCTCCCTCTGCCCGGTCACACCCTGCGCGGCTCCAGCCCTGTACTTTAGGCACGGATTAAATTCTGTGGGATGGTTATGAGGAAGCTCCAGGCAACACTTACCTTGTTGTTGTTTTAATTTTTTTTTTTTTTTTTTGCCGCAGAATCAAAGCACCTCCGTGTGATTAACGTGTTGGAGATACAGAGCTCGGCTGTAATAACATTAATTACATGTTGTTGCACTTTTAGGTTCTCGATAATGAGTAATAGTTTCACTTCAAAACTTAATCTCCTCGTCCTCCTGGGCAGACACTTCGTGGCTCTGCAGGTCATGGTTGTTTTCTTTGACACAGAAGGCAATTTATTTCCTTTGCTGCACTACAATCAGAGTGTTAAATTCACAGGCCTTCTGGTCTTTGTATGGTGTAAATCTGCTCTATCAATTGAAAAAATACATAAGAAGATTTCCCTGCATAAAATCTGAGCTTAAGCTGCTAAAAAAAAAAAAAAATTGAAACCAGCCTTGTAGTGGGATAAACTCAGATCCTCTCATTAAACATGTGCAGCACAAATTCCATGAGCCTTCCCTCTCCGGGAATAGTTTTGCTTGTCATGTCATGGTGTGAAGAATTTTTAATTCCCCGTGGAAATTGGGAGCCCAGGGATTTATTTACTCTCCAGCTCTGTTTCCAGCTGGAGGATCTGGGGTTCAACACGTCGACCAAGGCATTTAACCCCAAAGTTTTCAAAATCTAAATTGCCCATTTTCTTTGAAAAGAAACGTTGTGTCTCTGGACATGCTCCAGCACCTTGAGGTCTTTTGAGGGGAGGGAGAGTCGAGTCTCTGGAAGCCCAAAACAGGCAGCAAACCATAAATCAGTAAAAATAAAGTCCAGGAGGGAGGGAATCACTGCCACTCTTTGCCACAGAGTTCAGGCTCCTCTGAGGAATCAGCAGCAGATTTGGGATTAACAATTATGGACTCATTATCTCATTACACAGCCTGTAAATTCCTGTTGGAAGCTCCAGTTGTGTTGGACACCCTGAAGGAGCAGATTCTGCACCAACACGGGCCAGGAGACGTTTCCTGAGGGCTTTTCCTTACAAGCATCAAATAACAGCGTGTGGGGTGGCAGGAGACAGGTTTATTGAACCCCTGTAAATGCAACCATCCCAGTTACGTTTAACAATTAAGAGGTGCAAGAACAGCAGAGCTGTTGGGAAACAAAGCTCCTGCTAATCCTGATTTTAGCAGCATTAGCAGTGCCTTTGTCAACATTCACCTTCCAGCCTTTCCTCCTCTGGGCAGTGCTTTGGTCTCTGGAGCTTCTGAATCCACAGGGAAAACAAATGAATAATTTATGGCAGGAAAATGCAACTCCAGGGAGGAGTTTCCAGCAGCTTCGAGGGTGGTTTGCTGGTTGCTGCCAGGGGGAACTGGTGTTATAATGGGGGAAGTTGTGTTGTTCCTCCAAGCCAGCTCCCCATCCCTGAGCACCTTGGGAAGGGCAGGATGGACCAGCTGGGGAGGGTTTGGGCCCTGGAGCTGAAAAACAAGCTCAGAGACTTTGGGTTTAACTCCCGAACCTCCAATTCTAAACCTTTCAGAGCTTTCAGAGCTCCCAGTCACAACCTGCTTGGGGAAACAGCACCAGTGGGACCTTTCAGGGGGGGATTGGTCACCCCTGGGGTGTCTGACTGCAGGATTAGGAGGTGACAACCTGCACATCTGCAGCCACAGAGCCACCATCTCCTGCCAGGCCAGTTCTGAGCCAGCCCCAGGCTCTGCCAGGCCAGTTCTGAGCCAGCCCCAGGCTCTGCCAGGCCGGGTCTGAGTCAGCCCCAGGCTCTGCCAGGCCGGGTCTGAGTCAGCCTGAGCTGATTCCACAGGAGGGAGCAGCCCCAGCACAGAACTGGGCCAGCAGAGCAACATCCCAGCCTGGCAACCTGGGGCTTCACGGGGTTCTCAGTAGAGGAATAAAGATTCTAATTTATTTGTAATATTAAAAAACCCATCCTGTTATAAAATGTGGTCACCTGGAGAGTGAACTTCTGGAATGATTGGGCTGAGGGGGAAAATGTATTTTGTGAGCCCCTCTTTTAAACTCAAGCTGATTGGAAACAGCTTTATGTCTTGATCCTGGGCATGAAAGGCATCGTAAAACAAAAGAAGAGCAACTTTATAGTGAAAATCATCACTTTACTAAAAAAAAAAAATAAATATCTCGAGAAGATATAGAAATAAACATGTGTGAAATAATGACCTTTTTCTTCATCACTTATTACAGAGTCTTGGGGAGTGTAACCCCAATAATATACTATTAGCATTAAATTAACATCCCACGTTACAGGTGTAACATCAGTGAGTGTCTGGGAAGCATCCTGGCTCCCTTTGTTCTCAGGAAGCCTTGGGATGTTTCTGGGTGGGTGTAATTGCAGGAATGACACGGAATTCCAGAGGCACCCAGAGAGCAAACACGTGTATGGAGCCATTAGGGAGGGATGGAATTAACACCACCTTGGGTATAAAAACACCACCTGGAACTGCTTGGCAGGAGCAGGACACGCCTGCTGTCCTGAACAGCCCAGAGGGCTCCACTGCTGGCACCAGCTGGGAGATGCTGGAACTGGGGCTCTGACCAGAACTGGGGCTCCAGGTCTGCCCGTGGCTGTCACCACTGGGAGGTGGAAAAGAGTCCTGTGCAAAAGCAGCTCAGAAAAGTTGGGATGCAGAAACAAGAGCAGCTTGTTCCTAGAGAAGAAAGTCTCCAAGCAGGGCTGGTTATGAGTTAGAACAGGACACTCTAAAACCAGACATTTTGCTGTGATTTGGAGGGTTTAACCCAGACCCAGGTTCCTCTGGGAATCAGACCTCTCACTGCTTTCCTGGACCACACGACTGACATCCCCTTTTGGCAGAGAGCAGAACCAGCTCCTTAACTTTACCTGGGCATCAGGTGTTGAGTGTCTGGAGGAAGAGTCTCCCCTGTTGGTCTAAACAAGGCTGAGTGTGACCGAGAGAGACACCAAGGAGCAGAGGCAAAAGGAGATTCAGAAGGCCAATGGTTTGATGCAGGAGCATTTTAATGTGAATGCAAAGTGGAAGTGAACATTTGCAGAAAGGATAATGCAGACTAGAAGGAGCAGTTTCTCTAGAGCCAAGAAAAGCTAAACCCAATCCCCAGTTCCTCCAGCGTGACCCGTTTCCTCGCGACGTTCCCTTCCCTCGCACTTGCCGAGTCCCACTCGAATCCCTGCCACTCCAGACCAAATCCCTGCCACTCCAAACCAAATCCCTTCCTTCCCTAAACCCTGCTCAGCGTCAGACTGGGGAGAGGAAGTTCAAAGCACAGGCACAAGATGCAAAGCCAGGAGAGTAAAAGAAATCTAAGCTAAAGCACTACAGGGAGTTAAACGCAGGGTCCTGGTTTCCAGCGTCGCTTCCCTCTCGGGTGTCCTGTCGTGTCCTGTCGTGTCCTGTCGTGTCCTGTTGTGTCCTGTCGGTCACATTCCGTGTTCCTTCACTTCTTTCCTTGTTTCCTTGCTGTGACTGTCGCCTTTTAAGCTTTGACCTTCTTGCAGATGCCCCTGAGGCAGGGGTGCTTCCAGCGGGTGGAGTAGGTGTAGGAGCGCTCGGGCACGCACTTGGTCGCGCACTGGGGAGCGCAGGGGGTGGTGCAGGTGGGGACACACTTGGTGACACACTTGGTGGCACAGGCGGTGGTGGCACAGGGGGTGGCACAAGGCGGAGCACACTTGGTGGCACACGGGGTGGCACAGGGCGCTGGGCACGGCGCGGGGCACGGTGGGGCGCACTTGGTGGCACACGGGGTGGCACAAGGTGGAGCGCACTTGGTGGTGCATGGGGTGGCACAAGGTGGAGTGCACTTGGTGGCACACGGGGTGGCACAGGGGGTGGCACACGGTGGAGCGCACTTGGTGGTGCACGGTGGAGCACACGGAGCACACGGTGGAGCACACGGAGCACACGGAGCACACGGGGCACACGGGGCACACGGGGCAGGGCACGGTGCACACTGCGGGACACACACGGGCTCACACTTGGTGCCAAACTTGGGGGCACAGCAGGACTCGAGGCACTCCAGCCCCTTCTGCGACCCCCCGACGGCCACCCCCGACTCCAGCGCTCCCGCCAGCTCGGCCGACTCCGAGGATCCCACCACGGTGTCCTGGGGGTAGGTGGTGAGGATGGGCCCCGGGAACGTCACCACCACGGGCGGGGGGAAGATGATGACCCGCGAGTCGGGGCAGGCGATGACACAGGGCTCGGTGCAGGCGGCCGCCCGCGGGTCCGGGCACTGCCCGGGGCAGGGACAGGGACACGGCTCCACGCACACGGATTTCTCACAGGACATCCTGGGGCTGCGCTGCCGACCTGCAGGGAAGGAACAGACACGCGGGAAAGCAAAGGGGCTGGAAGGACGGGAGCGACACCCGAGAGACGGGAGGGGGGGATAACGCGGTGACCACCCTGCTCTGCTCTGCTTTGCTCTCCTCAGTGAGCTCCCGGGGCCCAAAATCCTCCCTGAGGGCACCAAAGCACCTCTGGGGTTACTCTGAGACATCTGCCCTCTCCTCTGGGATTTGGAGGGGCAGGTCAGTGAATTTGGGGTCACACAGCACCGAGGGTTCAGGAATGGGAAGCATGAAACATTTCACTGGTTTGAATTTGCCCCGTCTGGGTTGAGCAGACAAAATACAGAAAGAGGAATATCCTCTCTCCCTGAGAGGGAATGGATCCCAGGAGGGTATAAATAACCCTGGGTTTGGTGCAGTCACTTTGGAACAGGTGACTTTGACACAGAGATTTGGTATCGAGCTCACTGGGAAAATTAAACAAATAAAATTTGCAGGATCACAACAAAAAAGCTGAAACTCAGCAAAAACCCGGCAGCAGGTCCCTGAATTTAAATTCCAGTGGGAGTAAAACCATTCACAAACCTGGGCTGAATTCTGCACCTTTTTCAGTCTTTTGAAATAAGTTGAAGGGTGGGGAGGTGATTTGGAAAATAAAATAAAACTACATTTCGAGTTGCCATTTAAATGTAACCAAATTCCAGCTCAAAGCACCACATGAAGGAGCCTCTTAATCTGTTGTTTGAGATTAAACGAAATATTTTGGTTTCAGTCCCGGTGATTATTTGTTGTCTAAGTGCTGCATGTTGGAAAAGCCTGGGTGGGGCTGAGTCTGACTCAAGCGATTTCTGTTTTCTTTTTCTAGACACAATGTCAAAATATCCATCATTCCCTCAAACTTCTCCTGACCCTAAACCCTAATCCAGCCACTCTCTTCAGGTTCCACCCTTTAAACCCTCTGCAACAATTAATTCTGTGTTCTTGACAGCCGAGACCAAACCAGGGGGAAAGGAGGAGTGAAACCCAAACACAAAACACGAAATTCCCAGTGGATAACACATTCCTACACAGCCTGGGCAGTGTTTTCATATCACCACTGCTTTGCATAAATAGAATAAAACCACCCAAAGCAGCTTCCCAAGCTCTGATCCCAAAGGTGACAGCGACTGTCTCAGTATTTCTACAGCCTGTGCCAATATTTACACAACATCTCTGCCCAAAATTAGATAAAGATCAGGAGCCACAAGGTCAGAACCACCCCAGCAGGTGGGTATTGCTGGCTGAGATATTTTAAGGCTATTTAAAGGCCATATACATTAAATTTCCATAAAGCAATGGAAATAGACGTTTTTGATACCATCTAGAATTCAAATGCAGTTTTACACCTCAATCTGAATGAATAATTAACAAACGACTCTTTCAGGAAAATAAGCTCCTGAATATTGCACAGAATCACAGAAATCCAAAATTTGGCCCTGAATTTAAACGTGAACCTTTCCAAAATTACAATTTTTTAATTTTATTTTATTTTAGGGGGAAAAAAAAATGATATCAGAATCCAACTTACTCAGTTCAGCGAGGAGAAGCCAAGAGAACCTGCTGGAAGGTTTCTGAAGCAGGAATGGTTTTATATACCCGCCTGGACCACCAGGCTGATGCAAGAAAATAACGTCATATTTGGGCATTAAGGCTCCATTACTCCCCAAACCCAATTTGGAGGTTAATTACAGTAATTGGGTGGCTTTGCCTGCTGTTTGTGTTGATTACCCCGTCCTGGCCGGCACGTGACTCCTGTCCCTGGATTCCTCTCTTTTCCCAGTTTTGAGCCTCAAACCCCGTCCTGCAGCTCTGCTGGGGTGGAAGGAGCTGATTAAAGCCCAGCTTTAGTGGAGCTGAGCCCGGCTTAGTGGAGCCTGGTCTGGACTCTGAGCCACTCAGAGCTCCCAGGGCTCTCCCTGCCAGCCCTTAAAAACAGGACTTTGTTTTCCTGGCTGAACATCCCGGCCTCCAAGAATGCAGAGGAGCCAAACCTGACATTAGGCCTGAGTGTGCTGGCTGGGCTGAAGCTTGTTAGGACGTGTTTACAGGGCCTGGAGTCACTGCATGACTGGGGTGCTCAAATTGCCTCCCAGAGACAGTCCTGGCTCCTCATCTGAGGCTCCAAAACACGGCAGGTCCCGGGTTTAGGGCCATAAAATAAAGCACAGCGAGTTCCACCTCAAGGTGGGGAAGAACCTCTGTCCATGGAGGGTGGAAGAGCTGCCCGGGAAAGGGTTGGAATGTCCCTCCCTGGAGACATCCCAGACCCACCTGGATGTGTCCCTGTGTCACCTGCTCTGGGTGACCCTGCCCTGGGTGATCTCCAGAGGTCCCTCCACGGCTTTTCTGGGATTCTGGGATATAAAACAGCACCAGGGTTGGTGTGGCAGCTGCAGCCCCAGTCCAGCATGAGGTTCCTCCTCCTCTGCCACGCAGCTCCTGATCGTTCCCAGGGAGAAACACGAGAGGAGAAAACTCATTTTGGTAAAAGTGGGCTGGTCAGAGGGATCCTGGTATGGGATAAATCAGCCCGTCCCCAGCCCAGCTCACGGTGGGTTTGGTCACAGCTGCACCAGGAACAGGAGGAGTGTGAGGAGGAGTGTGGGAGTCTCAGGGTGAGGGAGCAGCAAAGCCACCAACACTGATCATTCCCTGTTCAACACACAGAGAACCAGGGAAAGGAGGGACAGCTGATTTATTGAGGGTTTCCCAGGACACCTTCAGACACAGAGCACTGAGAGTTACAGCCCCAGCTTTGGCCCAGCTTGACCTGCTGTGACGAAGCAGCAACTGGGAGCTCAACCCCGGCCCCCTCAGGTGAGAGAGAAGCACAATCCCATTTAAATCCCATTTAAATCCCATTTAAATGCCCAACTATGGCCTGGTTTGGAGAGGTGAATGCTTGGCCAGCCTGATTTCAATAATATCATCAGGACAACAAACACCAGGCCGGCTGGCAATGCCCGGATCCAAGGGGCTCCCCATTCCCCAGGTGTTCTTCACCCTCTGACTCAGGGATCACGTGCCTGGCCCTGGCACATTTATTTCCCAGCGACGCTATGATTCAATCCCGGGCAGTTCAGCCCCCAGCAGCCTGTCATTAAACATCAGAGCGCCACAACACTTTGCATATATAAAATGTTAGTGGGTGTTTGCAAAACCATCCAAAAGCATTTCCTCAGAACAATTGCAGTAAGTGCTTCTGCCCAGGGGAGCCTCCAAAGTCGCTTTTGTTTCCAGGAGGGGGGTTGATAGCACAGAAATCACAACAAAAACAGGCAAAAAAGTGTTGGGAGTGTGCAGAAAGGAGGGAAATGGCCCCAGAAAGGGTTCAGGGGGTTCAGGTGCAGTGGGATTGGGTGGAGGGTCCCACGGTCAGGGTGTCAACCAGACCTGTGCAGGGAAGGGGAGATGTGCCCTGAGAGGGGATTGGAATAGAATCCTGGAATGGTTTGGATTGGAAGGGGCCTGAAAGATCAACCAGTGCCACCCCCTGCCCTGGGCAGGGACACCTCCCACTATCCCAGGTTGCTCCAACCTGGCCTTGGACACTTCCAGGGATCCAGGGGCAGCCACAGCTTCTCTGGGCAACCTGAGCCAGGGCCTCCCAACCCTCACAGGGAACAATTTCTTCCCAATATCCCATCTAAGCCCCCCCTCTGTCAGTGTGAAGCCATTCCCCCTCATCCTGACACTCCAGGCCCTTGGAAATAATCTCTTTATTTTTCCTGTAGCCCCTTCAGGTCCTGGAAGGCCACAACTGTGTCACCCCAAAGCTTCTCTTCTCCAGGCTGAACAATCCCAGTTTTCCCAGCCTTTCCCCCCTGGCAGAGCTGCTCCATCCCTCTGCTCAGCTCCTCTGGAGTGGCTCCAGCAGCTCCAGGTGCTCCCTGGGCTGTTCCCAGGGCTGGGAGCAGGTGAGCAGGGTTTGTTCTCTGGCAGTTTTGGGTCAGTGAGGGGTGACTGAGTCTCCTCTCCATCCCCTTTCAGCAACTCCAGCCCTGCCAGGGTGACTCCTCCTGTGCCCTCAGCTCCCCTCCCGTGGCTTTTATCCTGTCTGAAATGCATTTCCAGCTCCAGATGTTCCTCCTTTGCCCTATTCCTGCCTCGGGCACTTCCCACAGAGCCCCTTGGCAGGAGCAGGGATGGAGGAAGAGCCTCTCCCACCCCCCTGGCACGAGGTGCCCTCCCCAGAGCAGCTCCAGAGGGAGCTTTGGAGCAAGTCCCACTTTCACACACATAAATTCATTTATTCTCCTGCCTGTATTTATTTATTTCCACTTATAAAATCCAGAGATGAGGAAGTAATTGTAGAATCACTGCTGGTGAAGGATTTCAGGCTTCAAATTGGGGAAGTGACAAATGGTTTTGTGAGCAGGGAAATGAATGTGAATTGTTGGGGAAGCTGGAGAAGGGGCTGGGAGGCCTTTTCCAACCTCAGTGATCCTGTGATTCCCCAAAACCAACGCCAAGGGCTTAAAAAAGTGATTCTCTGGGGAATCCCTTTGGTTGCCTTTGTGTTTTTGTCTGTTCTCCTCTCCCCCCTCAGGTCTCAGACTCTCCACGTTCCTCAGCAGGGTTGTCCTTCCACATCCAGGGGGTTGAGTCACGTTCTTCTGGGAAAGTGTCGTCCTGGCAACGAGGAGGCAGAGGGAGCACCGAGCCCAGGCAGAGCTGGAGGCTCTGTGAGCACAGAACCCGAAATATTCAGGGGTTCTCTCAGAAAAATCTGAGAACCAGAGGCCTTAAGGTGGCAGAATTATGATGTTACAACTCAAACTGGCATTGCAGGATCCTGGTTTGGGGAGGAATGGGTCTGACACCAGGTCATGCTCCCAGGAAGGCATCAGATGATTTTCCCATTTGATTCCTTTCCAGGTGACACTGGTGGGAAATCCCACTGTTTAGTATTGGCTATTTAGAAGGATGTGCTGCAAAATACATTCTTCCCCCACTCAGA